GAGCCCTTTCTGTTCCCCTCCAGGGAGCCTGAAGCACAGAGAGAGAGAACAGCTCACCCAGGATGTGTTAGGGACAGTGCCATGGGCAGTGAGAGGGTGGCTTAAAGCCAGTGTCCCGAGCTTCAGGGGCTGATGGCAGCAGGGGGTGGGAGGACCTTCCTCCAGCCCCTGGGGACCTGGCTGTCCCAGATGCCACAGCCAGGAAGTGTGTCAGGCACTTGCATAAGTGCCTTCTATATTTCCATAAAATCTTAATAACCGCTTCTTGCCATGGACCTTAGCTCATTAGAATGGTATCCACCACCTTTGGGGCCCTGAAGTGGACTGGTGCTGGGAAAAGGGAGGCAGGGGAGATCAGGAAAAGGCCAGGATTCTCACTGGGTCCTCTGCAGCCCTATTGCCTTCTGAGCGGGTCTTCTCCCCAGTTGGGAAATAGGAACCCAAACTCAGCTACCAATTGTAATGAAATCCCTCATCCCTGGAGTCCCAAGGAGCTAGAAGAAATGGCAATTGGTTAGATTTTTCAGGGTTGGTGTCCCACAAGAAGGGTTTGGACTAGATACTTCAGGGAAAAGAATGTGAGTCCTAATGGAAAGAGGAGCTCTGGTGGCCTAGAGGCAAGAAGCTGTGCTGCAATCCTAAAGGCACGCGGTTCAGGCCACCAGCTGTTCTGTAGGAGAAGGATGGGCAGTCTCCTCCTCTGCTATTAACTGCTTCTGAAAACCCACTGGAGGGTCGGTTCTATAGGTCAATTCTATAGGACACAACAACAACGGAAAGAAGGACATCCGATGGCATAGTCGGTAGCGAATTACACCATTAACCAAAAGACCATGTGTCTCTGGCAGTTCAAATCCACCAGCAGTTCAGAGGGAGAAAGATAGCAGTCTCCTTCCTTAGAATTTACAGCCTTGGAAGCCCAGTAGGTTTCTATGAGTTGGAACCAACTCCACAGTAGAGAGTTTTTTGAGCTTAAATGGAAAGAGGGTCCCTCATATCAGAGGATTTTAGTTGCTTGGACCTACAGGGCCCCAGGAATTCATTCAGGCTGCAAATCTTAGTATTTAGGGGGTCTTAGATTCCCTGAGGAGTAGTTGAAAATTCTAGCCTTTTCAGCAGAAAATGCACATTCTTCAAAATTTTATTCAACTTCCAGCAGTGCATTAAATCCTTGAAGCCTACCCACAAGGCCACAGGTAAGACTTCCCAGAACCAATACAAATAATAATAATAGCATCCATTTTTTTCTGTCTAGCTCTTTGCAAATATTAACTCATTTAATTCATGATGCAAAGCTAAGAGATATGCTACTTTTATCCTTATTCTAATTCATCTCCCCGTTTCACCTAATCTTGTCTCTAAGAAACTCTAGTGGGGCACTGGTTAATAATTCAGATGCTAACTGAAAGGTCAGTAGTTCAAATCCATCAGCTGCTCCGACGGAGAAAGATGTCACAACCTGCTCAGGTAAAGATTTATTAAAGGTTTACAAATGCTATGTTTTTTCATTCAGTCATTCATACACATTTTGTTTCATACTATTATTGCAATAAATTACTATTGATTACAATAGATTTATGTCATTAATTATTCCCAATATCTAATCAACCCCTTATTTTATGTACCCTTTCCCTTCACCCAACATGTGTTTGTTAACTTTTACTTCCCTCTCCTTCCTTCCCATTTCTGTTAACAATCTAAGAATGATTCTATATGCATGTACACTTTCCTTGGCTTTTTAGGAAAAGATCTTGATTTACAGCTTTTGAAGCCCTGTGTCCCTGTGGGGACTGAAAGTTTTACTCTGTCTGTACAAGATTGCTATGAATCAGAATACAATTGATGGCAATGGGTTGGGTTGGGTTGGGTTGGGTTGGGTTGGGTTGGGTTGGGTTAGTCTGCAGATCTAAAAGGAAGGAAAAGGAATCCTCTCCAGGATTGAACCATCTTAGCCCAAGGTCACAGAGTAGGAAAAGAAGGTAGAACTAGGGTGAGAACCTGGTCCTTTTAATGTGCCGGATAATAGGGTGCATAAGGACGTGGCGTCATCTCAGCCATCCCACTGTCCCCAAAGCTCACTAGCCCAGTGCTGCCGTCTCACGCAGTTCTCCTGATGAGCAGCAGCCCAGTAGTTTCATAACCACTTCCCTGGTCTGGGAAGCCCTTCTGAGAGAGTGACTGACATTCGTCTTCCTGTAGCCCCTCACCTCTTGTGCTGCCTACCCCTCATTTCTGCCTTTCAAATCTGAGGTTCCTCAAGAGAAGCTAGCCCAACTGCCCCTGCTGTGTCCCCGAGTCACTGCAGTGGGATTTGTCGGTACTGAGAGCAATGACTCAGACTTAGTTAGTGAAAGACTATTCTGAAAGATAAAGGCTGCAGGCCGGAAAGGACAGCCAGAGGTCATGGGATTCGGCCCCCTGCCTCTTCCACATTCACCACACTGGTTTCTAGTGCCCAGACCAGAGCACCCAAAGGTGCTTACCTTTCTTTGGTCACTAGGACCACCAATTCTCTTGGGAATTCTTTCCCAGTGTCTAGCCAGTCTCTTCATTCATGGAGAGCCACTTCTGGGTCAGTTTCCCTGAATATACCAGGTGCCAAATTATTGAAGAAGGTGAGAGAAGGAAGCTGGTTTCTCTCCACTTCAGGGACAGTGCTGGGAAGGAACAAATCTCCCGGAAGTAATCAAGGAAAGGAGAAAATTGATTGTAGCTGCTTGTCTTTCTCAGCTAAGTGCCTTCAATACACTATGTCCTTCATCTCCTAACACCCCAGTGGGAACTTACAAGCTCCATTTTGCCAATAAGGAAAAGAAGGCTCTAAAAGTCTTGTTACCAGCCCAAGGTCACACACTTTATCAATGACTAACTGCGCGGGCATTAAATCCTAGGGAACTCAGGGCATCTGCTTCTTGCAGAGGAAAATGGGAGTAGCTCCAGCCAGGTTTCCTGAACACAGAACAAAGTGCTATTTGCCTCAACCCAAGATAGCTTGAGGATCTGAAAGCACTTTCTGAGGGTCCACTAAATATCCCAAATCTTCTATGTCCAGGCAAAAGAATGTAGCTGGCCCGGCCTGGGCTGACTGAGAGAGAAAGAGTCCCAGAGTGGGTGAAGAGAAGGCTAATAGTGAAAGATCTTTTGGAGAGGCTAGTTAGAGGGCTGAGGTTAGGGGTTGCCCAAGGCCTTCCAGAAAAGGACTTTGAGGGAGTTTGCCACTACCGTGGATGTGTCTGGAGAGAAAAAGACCAAGCCCCTCTCAACTCAAACATTTCCAGCTGCCCTTGTCCTACTTCTGTCACTGGCAAATAAATCTCTTCTCCTGGACACAGTAACCTGAGCAGTGCTTCAGTGGTGAGCTCATCTTCTGTAGGACAGGGACGTCACGGAAGTGAATGTGGGGGTGGCAGCTTCTGTCCTCCAGGGTTGGTATTAGGTGGGACCCTCTCTGTTATCCTAACCTCACCCCCAGATTCCCCATGATCTCACTACCTACAACAGAAGAGCCCCTTGAGCTGACAGACCCAGCCATCTCTCCACCTAGGGGGCTCTGGTAGCCTAGTGCTAAGAAATCGTGCTGCCAACCCAAAGGCACACAGTTCAAATCCACCAGATGTTCTGCAGGAGAAAGATGGGCAATCTCCTCCTGTGCAGTTTATCACCTCTGAAACCTCCTAAAAGGTCACCTATGAGTTAGTTCCTACTCAGGGCACATAGGTACACTTACAACAATCTCTCTACTTATACCTAGTGAAGAGTTTTCCCAACCCTCAACCTACTTCCCTTTCTTTGGAGATGTCAAGATCTTCAGCTGCATGTGTTGGTCAGGACTGGAAATGACCGAGGGAGATTTGGGGATATGGCTCATTAGTGATATGCATTAGAAGAGGCATCCTCAGGCCTTAGCAAAAGGGAACGTACTGGAGAGGATGAACTCCACAACTCTGATCTATCTCCAGTTGTTGTAGAAACTTTAGGCAAGGTCTGAGAACTTTAGATAAGGGAACTGGGATCACTTCTCTGCTTTCTAGCCACAGAGAAGGAATTGCGACTTGACCTTTGACCTTTCTTTGCCTCAGTCAATCTCTCCTACATGGTTGGAAGACGTGCATATGTTTGAAGAGGGCCTCTCCAGGGCAGAGAGCTACCCAGTGAATGGAGGCTGAAGGAACCCATTCTATCTCCTCCTCCAAGGAAGGGTCTCTTGCAATCTTAAGTTTATTCAGGAAGTCCTAACTTGCATTTTTCTCTCAGCTCTCCTGCTGCAACTTCAACCTATCACCTCAACCCATTCTGACTCTAATATGGTCTCTAAGTCTTCTCTTAACCTTGTCAAGACCACATGCCGGGTGTTTTCAGTGTAAAATTACCACCTCCACCTCTTTTCCCTTCAGGCCCCTCCCCATCATGTCGAGCCCCTCCAGGCTCCGCCCAGCACTCCCTCCCGGCTGCCTCAGTAGCCAATGACTAAGAGACCTATTTGCATAGCGGCCCCGGGGAGCTTTGGAGGGAAAGGGGAGGGACCAGGCGACCTCCTAAATCAAAGTTGGGAGGCGAGGACTGGGCGGAGGGGCCGCCGGGTGCCGGGCTTGGGCCGGGGAGGGGGGGTAGGATGGGGGGCGGGTGCAGAGGACGGTGGGGCCGGCCGGACACGGACAGCTCTGGCGCTCCCTCCCTCCGCTCATCCTCGCGTCCCCACTTCCCTCCTCCCCTCGCTCTGAGCAGCATCCTCTGCAGACCCTCGGTCTTCACGCCTGGGGCCGTCCGGCTCCCACCGCTCAGAGTAATTCCCTCCCCTCCCTTGGCCAACCCGGGAACTTTCTCCTCCCGTACCCCGGAGTGGGGGGCTGCTTTGCCTAGGCGGGTTCCTCCTAGGGTTCACTGGGAGGCAGTCTCCAGAGAAGGGCTTCAGAGTCCCATAGAGACGCCACCACCCGCAGCCTGCCCCCAGCCGGCCAGCCGTCGGGTCTCGGCCCCCTCTCTTCCCTTTCCCCCCAACAATGACCGAAATGAGCGAGAAGGAGAACGAGCCGGATGACGCGGCCACTCATGCCCCCCCAGGGACCATCTCCGCCCTCCAGGAAACCAAGGTAACTCCAGGGGCGCGGAGCCTGCTCCCTCCCAGCCCGATGTGCCCCCTGTTCTGGCGCGTGGTCGCCCCCTGGGCTCAAGAGCGGCGGGGTCACGGTGTCGGGTAACTGCGTGATCCCTAAGGCTTAGTACCCGACCCATGGAGAGGCGTGGGTTAGCCTCTAGTGAGGGGGTCACAGGACTCCCCATCACACAAGCACAACACGCCCTGCGCGCGTGACAAGGGCCGCGCTGCCGCGCCCCGCCGGGAGGTTGTAACTCGCTTTGTTGGAGGGAATCGGCGCAGCCGGGGGAGGCGTGTGTGTCGGTGTGGAGCGGGTGCGGGCCGGTGTGCGCCTCCGTGTGTGCGTGCGAGGCGCACCCCTTCCGCGCCCGCCCTAGTCCACCCCTCTCTCTTTGCCTGTGTCTCTCTGGCTATGTCTCTACAACCTGTTTGTCTCTGTCTCGGTGCCTCCCTCGGTTTCTTGGCGTCTCTAGGTGAATATCTCCGAGTGTCTCTGGCTGGCGGTCTCCGACCCGCCGCAGTCCTGCAGCCCCCGCCCCCCCACCCCGGGTTAGGCCGGGGGACGTGAGGCCGAGGCCCCGGGTGCGCAGCTTCCGAGTCCGCGCTGGGGGCTGCGGCAGCGCGGGCCGTCGCGGGCGGGGACCCGGGCACTGTTGTTGCGGCTCCGGAGTAAGACAGGCATCCCCACCCCCCACCCCTGGAGCGGGACTGTGGAGGTGGAGGGATAGAAGCAAAAAGAGAAGTCATCGGTAATTAATGAATGTCATAATTAACCCTAATTATGTATGATTGTTACTCCTGAGGGAGTCAGAATGAATAAATTATTCCCTAGTGAAGGCGGGCGGAGCCGAGACTCCTGACGCTAAAGGGGGTGGCAGGAGGCCACTGTTCACATTCCATCCCCCATCCTCATCTACCCGCTCCCTCCCCAAATTCTAGGCTCTCCAGTGCCCTGTGAGTGACCTGACTGGAAGTTCTGCCAGAAGCGACCTGGGCCGGCCCAGGGGTGGGGAAAGCAGTGGGCCTATGTTGAGGGGCTCCCCAACTCTTCCAGACTCAGCCAGAACTCTCTTCTAGCCCTTCCACCCATTTCCTTCCTGTCCTACTCCTTCTCATCCAAGAGAGGAGGGGACTAGTGAGTACCAGAAAGCAGTGGGGTTTGTGGCCCCCCTACTCTTTAGTACCTCTAGCACCTTAATATCTCCCCTCTTCCTCCTCATTCTGTTCAGAACTCCCCCACCCCAAGGATATGAGGTTAATTCAAGGTCAAGGTCATCAAAGGCATGACTAGGGGGAGATGAATTGGACCAGGGTGGGGTCTTGCTGAGGCATTCCGTTCCTAAATTCCACAGATCCATTGGGTCTCAACGTCCAAGCTTTCACAGCTACACTCGTCCAAGCCTTCACAGCTACACTCGACCTTCTTCTGTCCCATCCCCCATGAGAATGAGGCCCTAGCCTTTTAGACCAGAGCTAATGCCCCCTTAGAGAGTCAAGTGTCTGCTGGGAGAAGACTAGACGTTGGGGTAAGAAGCCTGCTTGGAATATTTTGACAGCTTCATTCACACAGAGGGTCCCAAAAGCTGGGCCTGACCTGAATTCCAATGCCCTGACCTTCTCAGCTGCCCTCTGGTTGCCCAGGACAGGCATACTCAATGTCTCTGCTTGCTTCCCTGGACTTAGGGGGCCTTCCTGCTTACCACACCAAGACGTGTGTCTACCCCACCCCCTTCTTCTGAAGCCTCCCTAGGCAGCAAGAGGGCCCAGCACTGCTGTCTCAGCAATCCAGAAGGCTGCAAGCTCAGCTGTGTGAGGAGTTTGTGGGTGGTCAGGACCTGGTAGGTCGGTACCTCTTCCCTTTCAGCCCAAGGACCCTCGAACGCTGTCACCTCTGGATCTGAACCACAGAAATCCAAACATCAAGAGAGGAGGGGACTTGTGCATCTGACCTGGCCTCTTCATGCTAAGCCACTTAGAGCTCCATCCCTTTGATCCATCTCTTACTGTTTTAAAGAACTGACTCAATAACAGCTACACAGACTGGGCAGTGGGACGGGACCGGGCAAGGGCAGAGGGAGGCAGAGAGAGAATGCAGGGCCTACTAGCCTCCTCTGACCTTTCACCTGGCCCAAAGATGCTTTTGTCTCAAACTGTAGAAGAGAGGGAGAGAAGAGGGTTGCTTGCTACCCACCCAACTCTGTGAGCCAGGCACAACAGAGGGGGCTGGTGTCTGTCAGGCAGTGAAGCCAGTGTGGCAGGCTTATTTATCAGCATTTTGTGTCCTCTGGGCATTACTTGTCAGCCCGAGCCCAACCTCCTGCCCACTCTTAGGTCTCACGCCTGCCTCCAAGCTTCTCATCCACTGTCCTATGTTTGCATAGCTTCCCCGAGCCTGCCATTTGAGGCCTGCCCATCACTCCCTTTCGGGCCATCTTTGGGAAGACCCTGCTATACCAGCTCTGGCATCTGAGTCAGCTTGTGCCACATCCGTCACCACCCACCACCAGCTGCCTCATGCCCTTTTAGGAACTGGCGGGAAGTGAAAAAATGATGTCGGGAATTAAGACAGGAGGGAACTGACTGGCCCTGGGCTGAGGAGATGGACAGGAAGCAGGCAGGCTGGGCCTTACCTCCGAGGGGTGATTCAGAGGACAAGTCTGGTGGTCTCATGGCCAAGCTAGACAGGCTCTTTGGTCCACTGGAAAAGAACAGAACCAAGGCATGCCAGCTTCCTGGGGCTTAAAGGATTTTCTCATGCTCCATGGGTAGCCGGGGCACCAAGAAGCTTGCTGGTAGGGAAACACGAGAATGTCCTCTCTGGGAATCAGTAACCTCAGGAGCTGGAATACTTAGCCAGAGTGAGCCAGGACAAGGTTTAGCTAACCAATCCAGGCATCTCGAGTGGGCAGGCATTAAGGCATTTGGCAGAATTGCCCCCACCTGCCCTTCCATCACAGCTCTTGACATCTGCCAACTACCCCCAATGGTATGTCATTCCTTCCCATGTCTCTATCCTCTTGGGGTCCAGGACCTATAGGTGAGCCAGAGAGTTCAGCAGGCAGAATCGGGGCTGTCCTTCGCCCTGGTATTGGGGAACATTCTGTTCCAGAGATGCTTCTGGCCCCATGAAGAGAGATGGCTTTTGGCACCAAGGCTAGAGAATATCAGGAAAAGAAAGGTTGGAGAGCAGAGACATTTGAAATCTTCTCCTGTGAGGATTACTATTAAAATATGGCCTTGAGGGTAGGGGATTGTGATGGATGGTTTCAAATATTTGAAAGGATGATGTGTGGGAGAGGGAGTAGTCCTTTTCAGAGCCAAGAGAGGAATAACGGCTGATAGGCAAAAATCACAGGCAGGCAGGTTTCAGTTCTATATAGGGAAGCACTTTCCAGTGATTGCAGCTGCCCAAAGATGGAATAATTGCCTTGAGAGAGTGTGCTTCCCATCACAGGAGGCAACCAACACCGTCAGACAACCATACAGAGGGGTTGTGGTCCAGGGCATTAAGGGGTAATAGGGTGGGAACTGCTCTAAGTTACTAGTCTGTAAGACCCCTTCTAACCCTAAATCTCCTGACTGACCTGGTCCATGGCACACACAGTGACTGGGGAGACTCACAGGATAGGATGCTCCTGGTCATTTGAGCTCAGGTCCTAGCTACTTACTAGCTGAGGGCTCGCGGGTGAGTGATTTAAGCTTTCTGAACCTCAGTTCCTCACTGCCAGGATGAAATGAGATGTGGGGCCAGCTCCGTGCCAGTGCTCTGAAAAACAATAGCCTTTTTTTAAAAAAAAATTTATTATTTTGTGTATGTGTGTACTGTCAAATTGGATCTGAATGATACAGGAGGAGATTGTTTCTCCTTCTCCAGCAGAGCACCTGGTGGATTCGAACCATGCACCTCAGGGATTGCAGTACAGCTTCTTGCCACTAGACCACCAGAGCTCGCCAACAATAGCCTTTTGTAGATAGAAGTTTTATTTTTGCTTTTTGGACTCAAGAAACTTGCATTGTCTAAAAATATCTCACTTCCTTACTTTGAGAGTGGGGAAACTGAGGCTCAGAGCGATTCAATAGCCTGACTTGTCTGCTGGTATTTGCTTTGTTTTACCCTCACCTTTAGCATGCACTCCCAGGGACCTCTTGTGCTCCCTCTCAGCAGCCCTTGGCAGAATTCTGAGCAGTTTCCCCATCTCTCAAGGGCCTCATTTGGCCCTACATGACCCCTGGCCTGACCTCAGCCGGTATGTATTCTAATTAATTGTCCCTCTGGTCATCTATTCAGAAATCTGGGACCTGCTTCTCCCAGACATAGAAAGAAGCCCACGGTGCTGTCCAGGAAGCTAGGTTGGGTTTGGAAGGAGCTGGGCGGGCCAGTGTGCCAGACGGCCAAGGGCTCTGGCCTCTCGGTTGGCACACCTGGGCCTGCCTTGTGCCCAGACATCCCCCTCTCCTCTCCCTCCATCATGCTGCCTGCTGGCCTCTCTGAGGCTGCAGAGGCCACCACTTCCAACCCCTTGGCATGGTAGCCAGGCTGGCAGCCCTGGCACTCAAGCTGCCCGGCGTGCCAGCTAGGAACCCCAGCCAAGTGTCTGTGCTTGAAGCCAGACCTCTGGCCCCTTTCTCTATCACAGGAGAGGAGTCATTATGAAGAGGGGGATCTCAACAGGAGGGGAGGGGAGCAAGGCTCCGGATGGAGAGACTTTTAAACCTCGTCCAGACAGGCTTGGTAGGGTGTGCTTTGGAAAACCAAACTAATTCTGATCTTCCTCCCCACCACATCAATCCTGTATTCCAGAACATGGGCTGTGTGTAGGATTCCAGTTGCTTGCTCATCAATTATTCAATTAACATCGACTGAGCGCCTACTATGTGTTGAGATTCTGTATGGGGATTTGAAGTGATCGTCCCTCTCCTTGAAAGTCCTCAGGTGGTGCAAATCGTCTGTGTTAATCACGTATCAAAAGATTGGTGGTTTGAATTCACCTCCCTGAACCAGAAAAGCAGTGCTAGGGATCTTGGGCAAGCTCACAACCAGTAGAAATGCTTTGGAGCCAAGCTCTACTCTGAAACTCGTAGCATTGGCGTGAGTCAGAATTGACTTCACTTGAAGGATTTTGTTTGTTGGTTTGTTTTCTGTTCTTGCTCTCAAGAGGCTCACAGTCTCCTAAGGCATTAAGGAGCAAAATTATAACATAACTTGATGGGGCTGCAGCAGAAGTTAGTGTCAGGTGCCGGGGGCACCAGGGGATGGGGCAATGGAACTCTTTCAGAAAGACCTCTTCCTGGAGGAGGCACCCTTGGAACCTTAAAAAGTACAGAAGGTACTAATTGAGTAAGACTGAGAGCAGGTGTGCACAAGCTCAGAGACAAGATGGCTCAGGGTTTGAGAATCCTTATGACTCGGCTGCAGGGGGAACTCATGGGGTTGGGAGGCCAAGTGAGTGGCTTAGGTTGTGTTTCAAGGAGTCATTAAAGGTTTCCAGCACATCCAAGGGGTTATAGCCTGACAATTGTATGGATGTGGCAGGTAAAGGCAGGGAGCTGGGACTCTGAGCCAGATTGGAGGTATTGGGGTTTGAACTGAAGCAGGACTGGGAAGGTAATGAGAAGATTGTTGAGGATGGAAAGAGGGCTGGTTAGATTGTAGAGGATGGAGGGAGAATCAGCCAGACTCCCTGAGAACAAGGGTTGGGCATAACCGACTTGCTTCCTCCAGCTGGCTTCAGAACACAGTGGAAAATTGCCATGACTGCCCCTAAGCCTTATAGGTTTGTTTGATTTTATTTAACTCGCATGAATAATGCTATGTTCATACAATGAAATACGATGTAGCTATAAAAAAGAATGATAGAACTCTTTATATACTGGTATGGAATGATTCCCAAGATTTACTGTTAAGCAAAAGCAGCAAAGCACAGTAAAAATAGTATAGTACTGTTTATTTAGGAAATAAAAACCCTTGAATTTGTTTCTAGCCAACTTCACTAGAAAGTCTTTGGAAAAAAGGGAAAATTTGGCGACACTGGGTCAGCCTCATGAACTAGTCTTAGCTGGCCAGAGAGAGCTGCACTCGCCTGCTACCCAGACGACAGATGCCAGTTGGCCACAGGCCTCACTACCCCAGGTTGTGCATCTGTCCAACCAGTATGCCCTTCCTCATGGAGGTTACCTTACGGAGGCTCCTAAAGACATTTGGAATTGTGGCCCATGGCCTGGGACCGAGAAACCACTCTCAGTACTTCACCTCTCCCACAGACCACACATTGATGCTGTTGAAGGAAACATCCTGAGGGGAGCCAGTCCCCCCTGGACTCACACTCACAACCCCTTTTCTTCTCTTAGCTCCAGAGATTCAAGCGCTCACTCTCCCTCAAGACCATCCTCCGAAGTAAGAGTGTGGAGAATTTCTTCCTCCGTTCAGGCTCTGAGCTCAAGTGCCCGACTGAGGTGCTGCTGACGCCCCCAACCCCTCTGCCTCCTCCCTCTCCACCACCTGCATCCACAGACAAGGACCAGCCCACCCCGGCCCCCTCTCCCTGCCCAAACCCACGTTCCCTGGCACCACTCAAACCAGTGAGACTGCACAGCTTCCAGGAACATGTCTTCAAGCGAGCCAGCACCTGTGAGCTGTGCCACCAGCTCATTGTGGGTACGTGCCAGGGTGCTGAGGTGGACGAGCGGCAGGCTCGAAGTGAGCCCTAGGGATAGGGCCTCTCACTTTTAGCACAGAAGTGGGTACTCTTGGGGGTGGGTGAGTACCCAGTGTTGCTGTCTCTGCATTTCTTTTTATTTTTTATAAATTTTTTATTTTATTTTATTATTATTTTGTGTGTCTGTGTACCGTCAAATCAGATCTGACTGGTACAGGAGGAGATTGTCCCTCCTTTCCCGGCAGAGCATCTGGTGGATTCAAACCATGCGCCTCTGGGATTGCAGTGCAGCTTCTTGCCACTAGGCCACCAGAGCTCCCCTTGTCTCGGCATTTCTTAATGGCTCCAGCTTCGGTGCCAGATTGTACCCTGACTCCATGAGGGACAGTCCCGAGATCCGTAGGCTGGTGTGTGAGGACACACAGCTCTTTCTTGCCTCTTTTGCTCCTCGCCTACTGGAATACCATCTCCTCACCAATGCTTGCCAAATCCAAATTCTTCCTAGGAAACTCCAAGCAGGGCTTGCGATGTAAGACATGCAAAGTCAGCGTCCACCTCTGGTGCTCTGAGGAGATCTCCCACCAACAATGCTCAGGCAAGACGGTGAGTAGGCACCATGTGCAGACAGCAGGCTGTGAGGTGTCCTGGGACTGGCACTGTGGGGGAATGAGTGGCTTCAAGGTTGGTTCCCCTGGGGGCATGGTCCCCGGGCTTGAGGAGGGCCAAACTCTCAGTGACCTCTCCATGTTCCCTCTCTCTGCCCCATTTTGCCACAGTCCACCTCCTTCCGCCGAAACTTCAGCTCTCCTCTTTTGGTGCATGAGCCACCACCAGCATGTGCCGTAAGCAAAGAGTCCCCACCCACTGGTGAGTGTCCTCCGTTTGTCCCTGCACCCACTGTGATCAATGAGAAACCCATACGTCCCTCAAATGGGTGCCTGAATCACGCTGGCACCACCAGTTCAGTTCTTGGAATGTCTATCACTTGCTTGAATGCTCCTGTCCTGATTGTCAGCTTCATTCATTCATTCATTCATTCGTCAATAGACACTTTTTTGAGCTCCCACTAAGTGTCAGGCATTGTGTGAGATTTTGAAACATGGCACAGAAGACAGTGGTATTTATGATCTCATAAGGAAAATGTTGATGTTGTTATTGTGGTGGTGGTGGTGATGTACCATCGAGTTAGAACCGACTAATAGCTAACCCTCCAGCGGGTTTTCAGAGGCAATAAACTGCATGGAAGGAGATTGCCTATCCTTCTCCTGTGGAGCAGCTGGTGGATTTGAACTGTGTGCCTTTGAGATTTCAGCTCAGATTCTTACCACCAGGACACCAGAGTTCCTTCATAAGGGGAAAAGATGTTATATAATCAATGAATTATCATTATGATATGAACCACAAATGAAGACAAGGAATGAAGAGAGGATGTGAAAGTGCTTTATCAACAGGGTCAAAGGGGCTTGTCAGAGATGAAGATGAAGAGTTAGTTGAGAATCTGAGGGAGACTGTTGTGGGCAGAGGGAAGCCTGGGATCATAGCTGGAAGTTATAGGAAAAAGAGTGACTAAAGCCCAGAGACAAGGTACAAAGGGCATTGAGTGCAAGGATATATTGCACTTGGTGTATATTTTAGGAGCATGTTTGTTTTGGTTTTTTGGGGGGAGGGCACCCTCCCACCCTGTTCCTGTATCTCCCCCGCCCCTTGGAGCATGTTTTGTATTTTATGCTAAGGGTGAGTTTTCTGTCCTTCCAAGAGCATCCTGGCTGCTGTGTATACTGGGTTTAGGGGCTGCGGTGAAAGCAGAAGGACCAATGTGGAGGCTGTTACATTGTCTGGACAGAGTTTGACAGTTTGAACCAGGGTGATAGCAGAGATGGAGAGAAGGGGAGAGACTCAAGAAATGCTTAGGGGGCAAAACAAGGGAATGGGTTAGATGGGGCAGGAGGGGAAAGAATAGTCAAGGCTGCCCCAGGCTTCCCCAGAGCAAAGCCATCACTACAATGAGGAGGACCTGTAAGGGACAGGTGAAGGAGAACCCGGTGGCCAGTGCAGCCCAGGGCCAAATGAGTGGGGAGTTCAGGGTGCAATCTGGCCTGAGGCAAGGATCCCATGGGGCATCAAAGGATGGAGGTACAGGGCTTGGAGAGCTGAGCAAGCCTAGTTGCTGGAAACTAGGCCTTGAGACTGGTTCCTCAGCAGGGGCCAGCGGGAAGGTGGACCCTATCTATGAGACCCTGCGCTATGGCACCTCCTTGGCACTGATGAACCGCTCCAGCTTCAGCAGCACCTCCGAGTCCCCCACACGGAGCTTGGTATGGTGGGAGCCCAAGAGGGGTCTTGGAGAAGGGGCCGCTGAGGATAAGAGCCATTGGTTCAAGTCCTCCTGTCTCTCTTGTCCCCAGAGTGAGAAGGATGAGTTGACTGAAGATGGAGAAGGCAGCATCCGCAGCTCAGAGGAGGGACCTGGTGACAGCGGTGAGTGGGGTAGGGTTCAGGGACAGGTTTGGAGCATAGTTGGGGTTCTCTCCCTGTCACCTCGCATTCTCACCCCACTCTGGCATCTCCAGTGTTCACAGCCCCCACTGAGAGTGAAGGATCAGGATCAGAGAAGAGTCCTGGGCAGCAGGTGAGGTTCTGCTGACATGGAAACATAGCACCTCCAAGATAAGTCAGGCCAGGGTGAGGTGTTTCTTCTCCTTGTCATTGATATTAAGATGGGCAGCAGCATGGTGAGTGGGTACAATGAGTGGGTATAATAGTCCATCATTCATCCTCAGTTTACAAGGATGGGCAAGACCAGAGTGGGTACAGGAGGCAGGGAGCGGTAACCTCTACCGATCACAAAAACAATGTTGACTCTACCTATTCCTCTTTCCCCAAAGGTGGTTCATTCTAGCATGGGCAGTTCCAGAGTACAGCAGGCAGTCTAGTACCTCCTCTCTCTAGCCTTGACCCACCCTGGGTATAAGAGTCCACTCTCTTCCTCTTATTGACATAAGATCCACTGTGTCTACTGAGTGACCCCGGGGTAGAACGGTCAGAAAGAAGAGGCTAATGGATAGGGTGAGGGATGACTTTGTCCATCACCAACCCAGAGTTCTTCACACAGCCGCCCAAGCCTCCCCTGCGGAAGGATGTGGGACCCATGTACTCTTATGTTGCACTTTACAAGTTTCTGCCCCAGGAGAACAATGACCTCGCCCTACAGTAAGTCCTCTCTGTGGCCCACCCTGCTGGGCAGCTGCCTGGCTTTCAACCTCAAGGTTCTCCTCTCTCAGGCCTGGAAATCGGAGTTTAAGAGGGACTCTGGGAACTTCCTCCCTGCACACTTGAGCCTTCTGTGCCCAGGCAGGAGCTGGGGCTGCCCAGGATCCAAGTCATTCTGATGTTTCCTGCCCTTGTCCTCCGCTTTGCCCTTGAGGGTGTCTGCTGAACCTGTGGGCATGTGCTGTCCTTGGAGAGCACCAAACATTCTCCCTTCTCTCCCAGCTGAGGGGGGCATGCAGAGTGTCTGTGTACCTGGGGGTTGTTGGTCCACATGCTACCACAGCTCTCTTCTCCCCCAGGCCTGGAGATCGGATCATGCTGGTGGATGATTCTAACGAGGACTGGTGGAAGGTGACTAGGCAGGCTGTGGCCATAGAGTAGGGAGCAGAGGGATCCTGACAGGCACTTTAATGGGCAGTATCCCCCACCTTCTTTCCAGATCCTGAGGGTCTTCCCTCCCAGCCAAGCCTAGAGCCAATGTTTGGGCCTTGCTCTCAGTTTTGACCTTCTCTTACTGGCCTTATTGCTCTACCTACCTCCTTCCCATCTCAGAAGACACTGAGCTGGAGGCTCATACAGATAGCCATGGGGTGCAGAAGAGGTTGGGATTGCCCCTGAGTGAGGACTGAAGCCACAGGGGGTAGGGCTAGCTCTGGAGTTCATTACCAACCTCGTCTGCAGGGCAAGATTGGCGACCGGGTTGGCTTTTTCCCAGCTAATTTTGTGCAGCGGGTGAGACCAGGAGAGAATGTTTGGCGCTGCTGCCAAGCCTTCTCCGGGAACAAGGAACAAGGCTACATGAGCCTCAAGGAGAATCAGGTGAGTGCCTGGGACCCTGGCCTAGGTTCTACAGTGGTGGAGAATGGGCATGGTGACAGAGGTGGCATGGACCTGTGCCTGGAAGACGACGCTCACTGCCCTCCAGCAGGAAGGGAGGCAACTGGCATGGGGACTGTCGGGCACCACTTGGCATTCTCTGCTGGGAGATGAGCTTGGTGCTTTGGTGGGGAGTTGACTTATAGTAGAGCTAACTGGGAAGGGGAGGGACACTGGATTAGGAACCTGGGAACTTGAATTGGTACTCCACTACTGGCTTGTATGTAGTCTTGAGTCTTTTGTATGAATCTTTTCCTTCTGGAGATAGCCTCTCTTTCTCCATTGGAATGGCTGGTGGATTCAAACCAATATGCCTTTGGGTTGACAGTGCGACTCCTTACCACCAAGCCATGAGGGAGCTCATTTTTCCTTCTATTACTTCCTCAGTAAAATGGGGATAGAATTGGACCAGCTGATCTCAGATGTCAGCTCTTCGTGCTGATTACGCTGAACCTTGTACCCTTACTTATTGGCCCCCAACTGAGGGTCCCAACCATACCTGATGTTGGTTCCATTATCCCCCAGGGTGGGTCCCATTAGGGCTGTTGGCTAGACTTAGGGCCAGTGTTGCAGGCAGTGCCAGACCTCAGCCCCACATCTCTCCTCTGTTCAGATCTGTGTGGGCGTGGGCAGAAGCAAGGATGCTGATGGCTTCATCCGAGTCAGCAGTGGCAAGAGACGGGGCCTGGTACCAGCTGATACCCTGACTGAAATCTAAGAGGGAACATGAGAACCCAGATGCCACCCCTGTCCACGGCTGGCCCTTGCTTTTGGCTCTGGGAGGGAAGCAGACATCCTTGTCCATACCCTTCCTCCCTCTGCCTCTCTCTTGAGATGCTACTTACTATGGCTTTGGGAGCCATTTTTACTGAGGAAAATTTTTTTTCTTGGGTGGGTTGCTCCTCTGAGACTTGAGGAGGAGAAAGCAGGGAAGTTCCAGATAGGTCCACCAGTACCCAGTTACCACCCTCATCTATCGCCAGCCCTGGAGCTTCTCTGCTGCTTCTTTCAGAGTCTTTTCCGTGTTTCAAATCACCTTTGCATGCCTCTCACTTCCCCTCTCCCCACAGAGCCTCTGCTTAGGCCCGTGTGTGACTGTGTATCTGCTCCTTTGGAAGGGGGGCCTTGGGAGGGGCCTCCCCTCAGCCCTCCACCCAGGGCTAGAGGAGACTTAATTCCACCTCCCAGTCTCACCACCTCTGCCATTTCATCAATCTCAGGAAAGTTCTGTGGGAATATGTCCCATTACTTGAAACCTGGGCCAACAGAGGAGGGGCAGGCTGGGGTCAGGACAGCAGAGGTGCACAGGATGGGTGGGTAGGTATGTGTGACAAATCACAGTCTGTCCCCTCAACTAGAACAAGGACAGCAGCCTCATCTTACCCTTAGTCACTGGAAAGGAAGCCCAAGAGAAGTTCTGAACCCCAAACTAAGGAAGAACAATATTCTGGCCCAGGCTTGGTTGAAAGAACTCCACTGCATTGAGATTGGGGATAACACCCCAACAGGTAAAGCCTGAGGTCATCAATTCCTGTCCCAGCCGTGTCACCTAGGCCTGAACTGGGACCCCACCCTCAGGGTTGACCTTGAAAGGTCCTTCTTCATCCCTCTCCCCCGGATCCTGCAAGGAACAAGGCTGCTGTTTTGAGTCCATTCTTCTAGCTCATGTGCTGTCTTGTTCTGGATGCAGAGCAGAAGGATGAAGAAGGTGGAATGTTCTATTTGGCCACAAGGAAAGGAAGGGGATGGGCACCCCTGGGGGTAGGGTATGCACACATGAGGACCCCTCCCTTGCAGGCTGCTTTTCTCTGGTGCCACCTCTCCCCAAGCTCTGAGCCTCCCCTTATGTCCTGGATTGTGCCAGCCAATGCCACCCCACTTTGGGCACAGTGACCTCCCCATGCAATGGGAGGGACACAGCACCTCCTAACAGAAGATCCTAGCCCCACTTCTCCCCTGTGGAGGAGGAGGCTCAAACCACACTGCCCTGTTTGCTGCCATGAGGCCTTCCCAGCAATGTCCCCAGGGAGGGCCCAATGCCCACTGTACATGAGGCTGCATGATGGGTCTGCTGGGGCATTGCCAACCCTCAGGCCCCTAAATAAATGTTTCTTGTCCTGATCTGTCTGCTCTGTGTCTGTACTTGGAGTAGAGGAAAGAAAGAGGCTGGTCGGTGGAAAAACTAGGGGTATGGTCATCATGAAGGCAGAGGCTGGTGGAATTTTTCGATCTCTGAGAAGGATCTTGAGTTTGGCACTGATGTGGTAGAGGTCTCCAAGCGTCCTTACTCGCTTCTTTCCAACATCCCGAGAAGCGGGGGAGGCGGGGGAGGGGGGCTCTGGAGAGGTTTATGAGAGAAGAAACTGGCAAAGCCTAAAGAGTATGAAGAGAGGGAGGAGTAGTTAGGGGGTCGCTGAAGGGAGGGAGATGAGGCTGCCAGTCACTTTCCCGTATGATGCGCTGCTGAGCCGCCAGGGGGCGGACACACACCTCTGGTGTCGCGTCTGTTCGCCCAGAAGTGCCCTGGAGACTGTCCAGCTCAGCCCCAGCATCACTTCTGCAGCCCTCACAACCCCACGATGGAAACGCTGGCGGCGGGGACAGTCGCGGACAGCGAGGCCCTGAGATGACTCAATCACACCCGTCATCAGGAGGCTGCATGGAGGAGGCGGCGGCACGCCCCTCCCGGCCGCCACCCACCTGCTCGCGCGCCCGCTTGCGCCGCGCTCTCCCCTCCGCCTCGCCGGCTGCGTCATCGCCAAGGCAAGCACGTCCTGTGCTATTTATAGGCAGGGGAGCTGGGGGGCGGGGACAGACAGGAGAGTTGTGTGGGTGCCAGGGCAAGGCTGGGCTGCCAGTATGCGCAGGGTGGGTTCTTGCCCCTCCTGGGAGGCATCCTCCTTCTATCTAGTTCTGGTTTCTAGCCTCCATCCCCAAACCTGGTAGAGACCAGGTGTGATAGGAGTGTGGTTCCTCTTGAGTGTTCACTGAACTCTTTCACCCAAGGAAAGCTCTAGAGGTAGGGGAACAAAGGCAAGAGAAGTGGCAAACCTTTCGAAGGTTTAGAGTGAGGGGAGGTCATCTAAGTAAGTAGGCACCTCGGATTACCAGGAATGCCAGGAACTTTAATTTTGTTTATTCCTCCCAGTTACAGCGGTGAGGTTCCTACTTCATAGATGAGTAAATGAGGCTTGTAGATTATTTAACCCTTTTCAAAGATGAGCCACCTGAGGCCTTAGAGAGTGCTGATGACCTGCTCAAGGTTACCCAGCAAATCAGTGGTTAAGCCTGTCCAGGAAGACTTGTCTTGTGACTCCTACTTCTGACCTTTCCCCATTCTCTCTCGGGTCCCTTGAGATGCTTCAGACCAAGAAGATGGAGAGACACACACGCTGACATGCTGGACCTGAAGCTCCAGGGACGGAGACCCCTTAGCCCATTGGAGAGCAGCGAGCCTCTCTCTCTCTCTCTCCTTGGCTGGACCCCCGCCTTCTCCCCAGCCCATTTGCCGCACTGCTGAGTATAGCAGCTTTGTCAGGTGGCTGAACCACTGACAGCATGTTCACAGCCTGGGGAGCTGGGAACAGCTGGTGCCCCTACCGTAGCCTCTGCCTTCCTTTGTGCCCACTCTGGGCATGGTAGGACTAGCAGCACCACTGGCCTGGTCAGAGGATGCCCAGGAACCTGCTAGTGGTGCCAACCCACTATTTGACTGTGTCCCTAATCACACATATCCTCCATGTCCCAACTGCAGCTTAAACTTAACCTGGTATGGACTGCGTAGGAAAAAGGAATCTAATTTTAGGGAGATAAAGCTTTGTCATTCTTGCCTCCAAGAAACACTCTGGCTGCACTTTTTTCAAGATGTATTCTTTTTGCAGTCCATGGGCAAACTTCTTCATTGGGAATGTTGCTAGGAAGTGCTATTTCTCGGAAAGGGACATCATGCTAGGAAAGGTGGAGGGGAAAGAGGAAAACCCTCAATGAGATGGACTGACATCAGTGGGGTCATCAGAGATAAGGATGGCACAGCATAGGACAAGGTTCAGATCTATTGTTTCTAGGGCCACTATGAGTTGTACTTGAGGGCATCTAACAACAAAAAATTTTAGAGACGATGCAGAAAGTCTGAGAGACAGACAGCAAGACTTAGAAGAGCAGAGGGTTGGATACTGGGTAGGAGGTGGGAAGCTCAGAGAGAATGAGCCTCTCTATGCTAGAGTCATACTACCTGGCCCCTTCAGTCTTTTTTACTGAGTTAGTGGTCAGAGTAAGCTTAGGGCACTGCTGAGAGCACAAGGAAGGCAGTTGAGTGTGTCCATCCTGGGCCCCTCTTGTTTTGGGGAGGAAAGAGGCCAGAGCAACCTGTACACCTTTCACCAGCTCATGGCCCTGCATCTGTGCTCAGCATCTTTGCTGCACCCTACTCTGAATCACACCCTCCCACGTCAGGAGACAGTAGACTGGGAATCCAAGGTGGGTGCTGGATTCGTGCAATGCTGAGTTTTGGAGGATTCATTGCCCCTTGGGTCTGTTTCATCATCTTAAAAAAAAAAATGAAGCATTTGTTTACTCAGGAAATCTTTACCTGGGGTCCATAGACTTTCTTAAAGGCTATGTAAATCTATAGGATGCAAAAGATTCTATGGTGCTGAGAAAGGGTAAGCCAGATACTCACAGAGCTCTAAAACCTGGCACAGATACCTAGTTGTTACTCTTGTCTCTGATGGCAATGGGGTCCCTCCCTTGGCACTGTCTTAGAAAGGGATTGCAGGTCTGGAATGAGGTCCAGAAAAAAGTCACCAAACCCAATTGTTCCCAAGAAGTCACAGGCTCCCATATTCAACTTTTCTTTCCCCTCCAAAAACCCAGTCCTGGGTCAGTAGCCTAACACCTGCAGTGGTTTTGTGAGCAAAGGCTGCCATCTCCTGGTTCAGGTTAAAAACCAGCTTCCATATGAAGGCTTAGGATCCAGTGAAGCACTGTTGCTGCATTCATCCAACTGCCTTGTTTTGGGGGGTGGAGAAATGAGTTGACACCTTTCTGGCTGAAATAAGAAGTAACCAAAGCACCAAGGTTGATTCCTTTTCCTACTCATTTGGCAGTCTTGAGGCAAAGGTAAAGTGCCCACAGGACGCAAAGGTGTTAACAGAGGAAATCCAGAAATTGCTCATGCTAGGCCCTTACACACACCAAGCAGACAGTGGAAGGCTCCTTTGAACACTGCTTGCCCCAACATTTCAGCTGTCAAGCTTCAAGGGACAGAATGCACTCCAGGAGGCAGAGCAGGACAAGGATCTGCAGCCCTCAACCTTTTCCACACATGTACATTCCCTTCACTAACCATGGCCTCCTTGTTGAGCATCTATGGGTCACCCAGAGCAAGAGTTCCTTGGAGATGGATGGGTCCTAATTTCAAGCTCACCCAAGAGGAATTGCCTCTTTAACTCAGACCTTCAATTTTAGACATCATCATACGTGATCCCTGCCACCTGGTATGTGCTTCAAAAAACCTGCAATTTAGTCAAAACTCTAGCATTAAATTCTGGGATCACAGTAGACTCCTAGTCACATTTTTCTTCAAACACCTTGTATCCAGTTTTCTATACCCAAGGGCACATCAGTCAAGTCTGTATGCTACTTCATCACAGCAGTTTTTCATTTACAAATCACAGATGGCCATGAACTCTACAATGTTACGAAGATGGGGAGCTCTGGTGGCCTAGTGGCAAGAAGCTGCAACTACTATCCCAGAAGTGCACGGTTCGAATCCACTAGATGCTCTGCCAGGGACGGAGGGGCAATCTCCTCCTGTACCAGACAGATCACGCACACACACACACAAAAAGTTACGAAGATTACATCATCAATACAGAATGCCAGTACACGCACACAAAAATTTAAAAAAAAAAAAAAAAAGTTACGAAAATTTCATCAATACAGAATGCCTAATAGTACTTGGCTCAAAGAGCAGGTGCTTGATCGAGTAATAGGCAGTTACTACCAAGGATGGCAAGATCAAATCCACTTTCTATTTAAGTTGGAACCAACTGAGCCTCTAACAGGTTTTCAGAGGCTAGAAATCACATGAGGAATTGGCCCATCTTTTCTCAGAGCAGCTGAATTTGAACCTCCTCCCATTTGTAAAGGAGACACAAATTAAGCAACTCCATAGCTGTAACTACTTTGGCTTTAGTGATTTCAGGCCCTTAAATACTCAAGTATAAATCAAAGGGGGGATAGAAGAGACCCTCAACATATATGTGACAGGGAGTTTTATAATTGGCATGGACTTCAGCCCCAGTGAGGTTCAACCTTTGAATTAGTGAATATCCACAAAGCAGCTGGAAGCCGACTTGTTTTATTGAATGATCTATATAACTGCCAAGGCCACTATGTACAGAGAGGAGAGGAGCTTCATTTCTTGGTCTCTTCCTCTTTAGACAGAGTCTTGATGATTTCTTCTTTCTTGGCCTGGAGTCGCTCCTCACGTCGTTTGCGTGCCTCCTTTGTCTTAGATCTACGGGCCTCAGCCTGGTCACTGGTTAAGGGAAGAGGAAAGTATGAGCTACTGAGAAGAAAACACATTCCCAGACCTCTCCTTTGGAGCCTAATCAGTTTGAGAAAGTTGCTTGAGCCCTCAAAAGTTCTTGCTTCAACTAACCTATAGTCCTTGCCTGACAATAGGCAGATGGCACGTGGGCGTGTGTAGGACAGAGAAACACTAGTGTCTTGAATACAGACATATGGCTCTAACACAACTATATTCCTGACAGACTGTGTTCAAGTAAAAATTTAGCATATGCCTACTTTACATGAAGAACTCATTACAGTCCACTTTTAAAACTAAGAGTCTATAAGCATCTCCCAAAAGACCTGACTGTTCATTACAGCAAGAGTCAAAGAACCTGCCCCATGACTGGAAGTTCAAATGAAGACACTTACGCCAGGAGCTTCTTGCGGGCTTTATCTGCCTTCAGCTTGTGAATGTGTTCCATAAGAATTCGCTTGTTTTTGAACACATTCCCCTTTACTTTCAGGTACAGGCTGTGATACCTACAGGAAAAAGGTGCAGAGGGTCTGGTAAGTGATCGGTCAGGTTAGCCTAAGTTTCTAAGGCTTCCCTCCTTTCCTAACTGCTTACAGGATCTACTTGAACCAAACCAATATGTCTTTAAAAAAAAATTTTGTTGTGTACCATCAGATTGGATCCAACTAGCACAGGAGGAGATTGCCCCTCCTTCTTCAGTGACCACTTTGTGGATTCAAAACGGGTGCCTTCAGGATTCCAAAGCAGCTTCCTGCCTGCCACTAGAGCTTCCTCCAAACCAAGACCTTTAATGCAGCTGATAGGCAAAAGACGTGCTTGGCAAACAAGTCAAATTTTTAGACTATCCTGATGGTACACAGGGATGTACAGAACAGGCTAGAATGGGAGTAACTTTCCTAGAAATCCTAAAACACATGGCTCCTTCCCCAGGGCCAAACAGACAGAACCTCTGTCTATGTAAAACCAAGCCACCATAACAGCACAGCAGCATCTCGAGGGGCTGTGCTTACATGTGGCGATCAATCTTCTTAGACTCTCGGTATCTTCTGAGCAGCCGGCGCAAAATCCTCATCCGCCTCATCCAGGTCACCTTCTCGGGCATTCGAGCATTAGCAGTACCCTTTCGCTTACCTGCAAAGAAGATGGGTTAGGAACCAGCATCACCAAGGTCCACAGTCTAAGTACATTCAATCCTCAAGTTAGTTACTGGCAACTGCTTATGGGTCTAAATGGTATAAATTTTAAAATATTTGATTCCAATGATTTTACTTGGAATGTGGATATATAGGGCATGTACCGAGGCACTAAGTGACATTTGTTTTTCTCATATTCTTGTTTAGCCTTCCAAAACAAATCTTCATCCTAAAAAGGTCATTTTAGGATTAGACGGGACATTTTGAAGATTGCAAGAATTTCTTGCAGAGTAGGCTTTCTGTCAAGAATACCTCCAACTATAACAACACTAACGCTCACCTAGGCAGAGAACACATCAAATAATATAGAGCAAGGGCCCAAGATTAACCACTGGCTAAATAAAATATTTACCACTACATTCTAAACCCAGATCCAAGTATTTAGCATTTAAGTCAGAGAAGACACTTACCTATGCCCATATGCCGGCCCTTCCTGCGGGCTAAGGTATTTTTTCGGCATCGAGCCCGAGAATGGACAGTCACAGGCTTGCGGATGATCAGGCCATCTTTGATCAGTTTCCGGATTTGCTGGCCTGAGTAAACAAAGCACTTTGCAGTCTTTTAAGAGCACAGTCAGGGGCCTCAGTCACTTCAGAACAGAGGCTGGAGAGTCCAGACAGGATAAAACAGACATTGCTCCGTGATTCTGGCCCACTGATGTTAATAATAGTGGACTGGAAACAATTCTTACCCTCATTATTTGGAATCTTTAAAAGGTTTCCCAGCACCAACAAAAATATATTTGGGGGTGTTTGCTTCCATACACTGCCTATCTTTCTATTCCATTTGTCTTACTTATTACCTACCGGTCTGGGGAAGAATTAAGATTTTCTGAGCATACAACACAACATTATAGACTGAAACCAGAACTTCTCTAACACTACGTGGAAACAGCAAGGGTATTATCAGTTCTATTTCCAAACCTGTGCAGCTTCTTAGAACACTCACACCAATAGTACCCAATTAAAAGTCTTTAACTCCAGACCTTTCCATTTTGGCAATCTCTACTCTTGACGTCAAACTAAGAGTACCATCTCTTTATGTATTTGCAAATCCTTTTCACAACTTTAGGAAAATAGTCCAGAAAATGTAATTAACACAGGGCAGATTTTTACCCTGTTCTTCTAGAAAAGAGACTCTACCATTTCTAAGTTTTCCTGGCCCTCCACTTTATGAACTTTCCAGGTTTAAAGAGTCACCATAATCCTGTGTATTTCACACAGGTCAAGGGAAGGGAGAAGGTCATGGAGAAGTGTTACAGGCTCGAAGTACTCACGAGAGTTGGCATTGGCAATTTCATTGGTCTCGTTGGGGTCCAACCAGACTTTCTTCTTGCCACAGCGGAGGACACTAGAGGCAAGCCTCTTCTGAAGCCTGAGCATACTGTGGGATACACATACACAAAACATTCTTAGGCCCTGCCCTCCAAATAATACATGTTAATATTGGGTAATAGCACACGTAGTGAAAGGGATCATTTATGTACATGTACTTACTATATCAAGAAAATACAGCCCGATCACCTCAAGACTTTTGCCACCCATTTGACAATCCCATAATCCTCTTTAAATGAAAATTAAGGGCTCGCTGTGTGTTCCTGTATGGGACAACCCGCCACACCAGGATAAAGTTCAAGCTAGCCTTCTTGTATATATATGGATTAGTGATACGATGATCAAGAGGTTTTTTTTTTTCCTTGTCTGATGGTAAGCTCTTAAAAGCCAGTGGACCCGATTTCTAGCCAGAGGACCTAGAGAAGGTCCACTGCTCTCTAGGAGCAAGGAGCTCTCGGCAATGGGAGGCCTGGGCTGCGCGAGGTTTGTCATACGTTACATGGAAGCGGGGATCGGCTTCCCCGAACCGGGAGGCTGCGGCCTAGTTCTCCGCCCCGCCTCTGCTCGCTTACGTGCGAAGCCCCCGACACGTGTAAAGCGCGGCCCCCGCGGAACTGCCCATCCTCTCGTTCCCGGGTCCCACACCTACCCCCGTCCTCTTGAGACCAAGGCCTAAGGCAGTCCAGTCCTTCTCAAGCTCTAGGAACGGTTACTGTAGAGCTGCCGCCACCTTATCTCCCTTTTCCTAAGGTGACGGGCAAAGCTCTGCCGTTCCCGCTAGCCCAGATCTCTCACCTCATGGTTGCAGCCACAACGTCGAAAAGAAAGGAACTGCTCTGGTTAGGCCAAAGCTCTGCCGTTCCCGCCAGCCCAAATAAGCCCAGATCAGAGAACCCAGAACTCTCACCTCATGGTTGCAGCCACAGCGTCGAAAAGAAAGGAACTGCTCTGGTTAGGCTCCTCCCATTATCTGCGAAGGGGAGAGCCCATCTCCTTCTTCGTTCTTCCCTTATTCCTTTTAGATCTTTTCGTTTTATCCCACATAAAACGCACTTATAGTCTTATCTGATACCTGATATAATAAAATATTATTATCGGGAATAGGTTTTTACTTGTTAAAATACAGTAATATCCCTTTTCTATAGCAAAATGGTACAGTCCAATTTCCTGTCAGACATGCGCAGAAAGGGCACTAAATCACGTGGTACGGGTGGCCGGAAGTTAGCTACGCCAGAAAGGTGAGGGGAGTTTAACGACAGTGGCCTACTTAGGACGTCCTTTGGAAGGATGATTTATTCGCAAGGAGAGGAGCTAGGGAGGAATAATTAGTAAAAGAAGTGAGAGAGAATAATGAGAGCAGTTATCAAGCAAAACCAAACGCCTAGTGGGTTGGGACGGCCCCAATCTGACGCACACAATATAGATCACTAAAAGATTTTAGTTTATATCTTTGAGCCAGTGCCAGATTACCCAATAAGCAAGGTAGGTATCGGTTGCTTGTGTTTATTTAATAATATATCGTGAGAAGTTTCATTTTTTTTCACCACATATTGATGTTATGTAACATCAAACCAGAACCGACCAATAGCCGACTCTGTGGTGGGTTTTCTGAGGCAGTTAAATCGCAGATAAGGAGACTACTCCCGCCCAGCAGCTGATGGATTTGAAGCACGTGACTTCGGTATTGCAGCGCAGTTTGTTACCACTGGGCCACTAGACATCTATAGTGTTCTGTGCCATCGAGTCGCCTACGACCCTATGTACAATAACAATCCTGCCCAGTTGTACTGATTCTGTCACATCTAACCCCATTGCCCCAGTTGTCATATCAACCCATCTCATCCTGGGTTTTCATCTCCTGAGCTGTCCCTCTCTACCTTTCCAAACATGATGTCCTTCTTGAAGGACTGGTCCCACTTGGCCACATGCCCTCCAAGGAAAAACTTGGTTTCACCCTCTCCGAGACAGACCTATTTGTACTCCAGCTTATCCATGGTGTGTTTAATAACTACTCCAGCACCACAACTTAGGCATAAATTCTGTCATCCTTAGTCATTGTCCAGCTCTCTGATGCATAGCAAGTAATTGTAAAGACTATGGCTTGGATCAGGCACATTTTAGTCTAGACTGACATCATTGCTCTAGCACTTCTGAGAGGTCCCTGACAACAGACTTCCCCAATACAATTCAACTTTTAATTTCCTGACTACTGGTGCCAACCATGCATGTTACCCTGCTCTGTTCTGACTACTGCCTCTTGGTCCAAGTATAGGTTTCGCATTAGCACAATTAAATGTTCTGGGATTCCCATTCTTCTCAGAGTCA